GTCAATGGAATAGACATTCCTTGTATGACACCTTTTCCTGTTATAGGAAACTGTTGGTAGTAAAAACCAGAAATAAGTTTTGTATTATAGCTCATATTGTTTATAGTAAACTCAGTCGGACATCCAAACATAATGAAACCTGCTCTAGTTGCAGCACATGTTACACCCGTCCTTAAAGTATTAAATAAGTCAACAAAACCTGTTGGTGGTATATCTGAGTAAGTATCTTCAAAGGAGTATTTTTTACCATTCACAACAATAAAGTCTTCTGGTGTCAAAAGAGCAAAACAGGCTTTAGTCGTCATCGTGTTTAAGGTCAGTTTACAATATCGTCCTTGAGGACTTTGTAAGTTTGTTGTTATAGAATTATATGACTCAGGGTTTTAGTCGTAATAGTATAAACCACTATGTCTTCTGCCATTTACATATATTTAAAAGTTTTTCTGAAAGTGGAGAAGAACTTCATCTAAACTTTCACATGGCGTTTCTTGAAGTTCTCTGTCTAAGAAGTTCAAATATTTTGTAAAGACATAGAACTTTCCTTTGTCTACACGAACAAACAAAAACAGGGTCTTTCATATCGTTCAAAAGCGTGTAAAGTCCTTTACATGAAATAAAGTCTATATTGTTTTTCTTCAAACATCTTTCAAGAAGTTTTGACATTTTACTTAGCAAACAAACTTTAATGAAATGTTGTGGTCGTCAAATATTTTTATGACGTCTGGGAAACTATATTTTAAGTTCAACGTTTCACCTCCTTTCATAACGTATATCTTGTCAATGACATTATATGAAACACCACAGCAAGCAATGTCGGGTTCTATTTCTTTGATGTTTATATCGTCTGCCTCTGTCAAAAGTTTCAATAGTTCTTTCAAAACTTCATGAGGTGCAATGACATATGAGTTCACTTTTACAGGGTTGTGTTCGACCAAGTTTAACATTATACCTAAAGCTTGACAAATCTTCTCCTGAGTTTGAAGTTTGTCTTTAAGTTGTTGGTAGTCGTTTCGAATATCTGCAACAGAACTTAAGTCTCTGCTAACTTCAGGATATGTTGGTTGTTCTTTTACAGGAACAATTGTTATACCATCTTCGTCTTCGTATGGTTTCCCCACTTCAACATCTCTTCTTTGACATTGACAACAACACTTTGACTGTTTGTTTGAGTTGGTGAATTTAACTTCACATCTGCCACCGCCATTAAACCTTTTGAAACACTTACGCTTCTATTTTTCGGAAATGACATTTTACTTAGAATAAAAAGATGGACGTATTTGAGTATCTCTTCGAATTGAAGCAGAACAAAGTTTACACACACAAACAATACAAGTTCATTGACAGAGTAGTTCTTTACACAAACAATGGAAAATGTTATAGAATAGCAGTCTTTGCTGAACCAAAATATTTTCATAAAGCAAAGAAAGTTGGTATAACCGAAATGGTGAAAGTTCTTGACGTTGACAAAAATATAACAACAAAACTGACCGATATTTCTAAAGGTAAGTTTATAATACAATATATGTCAAAACTGGCGTACTGTCAATATTTGACGGAGAGAAGTCAGTTCAAGAACAACTTACTGACCTGCTGCCAAAATCTGCTCGATGGAAGCTGTCGTTATACCAATCTGAGGAGCCCCAGCAGGTTTCATCGAACGAATTTTCAAAAGAGCATCTTCCGTGAAAAGTGCTATTGGTTTTGTAAACTTCTTTGCTCAGTTCATCTGGACCGTCTCTGTCACCAGTATATTGTATTTGAACTGCCAACAGTTGAAATACCACCCATAAAGTCTTCTGAGTCAGCAAATGGAATGCCAAGCCAAAAGTTTGAACGGTCTCCATTTGTATATTGAGTTTTTTGACCTCCTGTATGAGTCCATACTTTCACATATGGCATAATAGAACTTTGCATTTCAGGGTTAATGGTTGTTGTGAAGTTGTTGTTAAAGTTCATAGCATCTAATGTCAAGTTGTATGACCTCATATCCTCAACTGTAGAATATTCTTCTCTTGGATAATATTTGCCATCTATGTTTATATGATATTTAATACCAGGGTTGTAGAAGCAAGAATAGTCATTTATAGTTCGTCTGAACAGTACAAACATAGTATCTGCATGTTTCATTGCAGTTGTTAAAGCAATATCTGTTCTTGCACCTGGGTCAGCACTTTGGTTTCCAACTTCACCTGCAAAGTCTTTGACAGATATTTGGTGTATAGGGAACATAAGTGGAACTGCAATATATTTGGCAGCTAAAGCATTTGAAATATCTGGGTCCAACATATAGACTGCAAGTCTGCTTTCTATTCTCTTGCATTCAAACTTTTTCGCATGTGAACTTAACTGGGTCCCAAGCAGTTCCAGCAGCATTGAAATAATAGTTTACTTCAGTGTTGAGGTTTGAGAAACCAAAGTCTAAGTCAACTTTGTCTTTGCAAAAGTCGGCGAATGACGTTTGATTTGCTCCCTTTACGTCTGTAAGAGTGAATGGGTCTTGTGTTGGTGCAATGACTAAGTTATTTTTGCTTGGAGTAAGTTCGATAGAAATTTTTCCTGCCCAGTTTGGCAAGTATCTTAAAAACCTGAAGATGAGGAAAGATGACAAAGGAACTCTAAGTTTCAGTTTTACTTTGGTTACTGCTGCTGAGTTTGTCCAGAAAGGTTAACATAAACTCCTGGAACGTTAGGGTCAAGTCTTCTTATTTTCTCAATAGTTGCATACTGGTCTGTTTGTTCTCTAGCTTGTGGTTGTACTGAGTTTCTCAAAGCGAACCATTCATAGTTTGCCCATGTTACTGTTTGAACTAAGTCAGAGTTAGAATATATCTTATATCCCATGAAAACTTCTGGAGCATATTGGTATCCGACATAGAAAATTCCATTGCAACCTTTCTTGTCAGACAACTTGGCAGAAGGTTTTATTTCAATGTCTTGTTCCACGTATAAGAAAGAGTTGTCAATAGAAATTATATGAAACCTGTCGCAAGCAATATCTACTGTTGTTGAAGAACCTTCTCCAAACTCACCTACGTTTCCATAAGAAACAGCAGTTGTATATTCGTAAGTTCCAGGAACTATTTCTGACCTTCTAATGGCATTGTCGCATTCGTTATACCATTCGGAAACATTTCCATTCATAGCATCCAAAACTGTTGGCGTTATATTCTGAGCGGCGTACATTTCATATGAGGTAAAAATATAGAATAGTTGGATTTATATGTCATAATAGAACCCACTCCGACCAAGCTTTACTTTCTTCCTGACTGAGTTTTTAACTCTTCTTTTTCCTTCATTGCCCTCTGCTTGAAGTTGTTGCATCTTTGCATTATGTTCATCTAGTATGTTGCAAATTTCCCATGTCCTTTTTGCCTTTTGGCTCTGGTCGCCCATCTCAGGTAACCTATATCCTAGAAAGAGTTTGTCATAGTCTGTATTTGAGTCTTCGCGTATTGTTTGCATGACTCTTTCCTGAGTTTCTGGTTCAAGCTCTTCAAACAGAGCTTGTCCATATGGAATAAGCTCGTTTCCAAATATATGTTTTTGTAGCCATTCTGGTTTTCTTTCCATGTTACCAACTATATCTTTTGTGAATGGGAAAGCTTTTACCCAATCTTTCAGTCTTGCGTCGTTTATTTCTGTAGTTGGTTTTATTTTGTCAAGGAACATGTTTTTCAATACTAACATTTCATTTGGTACTGTCCATTTGAGTTTTCTTAAATATTCATCCCTTCTCGGTTCATTGTCTGCAAAGTAAGTTTTTATGACATTTTGTAAACTTTCGTTTGCAAGGTCATGTACAATAGGTTCTCTTCCTTCTCTGTCCCTAACTTTCTTTCTAAACTCTTCACCAAATATACCATCTCTATGGTTCTGTGTAGTTCTTTGAGATAAATGTTCTAGAACGTCAGGTGTTATATTTCCATCAGCCATGTTCATTTCATACTGGTTCAAAATATCTGCATCTTTCATATCTTTCAATGGCATTAAAGCCGCGCTGAAAATACCAGCTATATCTGGTTCACCATTGACTTCCATTGCGTCTACAACTTCTTGGAATTGAGGTTGTAAGTTTATGAACCACCTATCTGGATTAGCTTTATGACCCCATCTCATTGTAGTTCCATCGTCTGCAGAAACAAAAGTAGGTTTGTTTCCATCTTGGTTAGGTTCTGAATGAACTTTAAACAATGTTTCATTTCTATATGTTTTCTTGAAATTTAACCTTTTATTTTCACCGAGTTCATCCGAAGATTGAACGTTAAATGCTCGTAAGTAAAAAGGGTTGTTGTATTTGTGTACATTTTTTTTCAGTTCTTCCATTCTATGCTGATATTTTCATCTGATGTTGGAGTCTTTTGTATGTCGGCAAACATTTTTCGATATTCTTCTACTATGTCAGCCGAATTTTTTTTAGACTCTTGGAAATATTCCATATTCTCCGCATACTCTTGTTGAGGGTCAAGATTTTTCGGCTGTTCAAATCTTCATCTAGTTCTGTGAAGTTAGTTTCCAAAGGAGTGACTTGTTCGTTTCCTTCAGGCTCTTCTAGCTGTTGTTGCTGAACTATTTCTTCCATGTCTGGTTGTATCTGAACTTCTTCCTGTGGAGTTTCTTGTACCTCATCTGCTGGCATTTCATATATTCCGAGACCGTTTTCAACAATTTCCCTATCTACGTCATCCGCATTCATAAGCTTTTGTTCTTTCGTTCCGTCTCTATTTTTTACGCGTTTCATGACGAAAGTTGAATTGTCATTTAGCTCTGACATCAAATATCTCGGAGTAAATTCATCCATGTCATTTGGATGATATGCTATTAAATCATATCCCTTAGCGAGCTTGTATTTTCCAGGTTTGAGATTATATCCGTTTGGTGCTGAGCCATAAAGCTAAATAGGTTCGGGTCAGTATTTCCATCCTTGAACTTTCCAATAGCTTCTTTATATCTGTCACTAAAGTCAATACTATCTGGGAAACCACACTCTTCTTTAAGCATTTTTAAGAATTCTTGGTTTCCTTGTTCTCTACTTCTTTTATGTCCTTGCTCTGTTTGTGGTTGTTGTTGTGCTGGATTTTGAACTGTTGGTTGTTGTGTTGGGTTTGGTGCTGGTTGTGGAGGTGGTTGTTGTGTTGGATTTTGAACTGTTGGTTGTTGTGTTGGTTTTGGTGCATGCCTGTGTCTGTGTCCATGTGACGATGTAAATGTTCTAGGTAGTCCTGGTGCAGGTGCTTCTCTTGGAGGGTTTGGTGGTATATAAGTTCCACCAGCTGGCACATATGTTCCATCTGCAGCGTAATGTCCTACCTGACTTTTCGTTTTTAAGAAAGCATTTACTAGGTCTGTTTTGGTCTGTTGTAACTCTTTTTCTTGACTTTTCACAACAGTTGCTCTAACGGCGTCATAGGCACTTTGAACTGCCTGTCTTGTTGCTGCATCTGTTATTTTCGTCATATTTTGTGCTACTTCTCTTAACTCGTTGTCGAAACCTTCAGACTTCAGTTTCTTTCCAGATGAGAAGTCGTTCACTTGTTTCACCTTACTATGAAGAGCTTCGAAAGCGTTCTTAAAGTCAGCATTTGTTAAAGCTTCATTTGAACTGTCTTCATCCGCTTGTATTTTTGTCCTTATTGACCCTATAGTGGGCTGCTTTAGCGTTGGCTTGGGCATCTAACCAGTCATTGTTAGCTTTTATATATTCTGCGCTTTTCATTGCCTTTTGCATAGCCGCGTCGTTATTTTTACTTTCTTGTGCTAAGTTTTCATACTGTACGGTTTGGTTTTGCAACTGTAAAAGTTTTTCTGCCTTTACATTTGCTTCAACTTCTTTTTTATACTCATCGCTATCCATATATGTCTTCAGGGCTTTTTGTTTTATCTCTTCATCTTTCAGTATTTTATATTGAGTAGTATGGTTTTTCAAATTTATGACATCTTGTTCCATTTTTGCTACTTCTGTTGCTTTTTCTGACACTTTTTTCGCATATTCCTCTGTACTTAGTTCTTTCAGTTGTTCTTCTTTCTTCTTTTTCTCTACGTTTAACTCATTGAGTTTCTTTGTGTGTCTGTCATATTCTAGTTTCTTTTCGTTTTCACTTATTTGCTTCTGTATGTCTATGTTTGACTTTTTGACATCTGTTATTTGATTTTTGAGTGAACTCAAATTCATTTGACTTTGAGGGTTATAAGCTGTTCCGTCTGCAGCTCCACCATAGCCTGCCATTTTCGCTAAAAGTGCCGCTCTTAAACCTCCACTCTGTGCACCAACAACTCGGTTTAAAAGCATAGGATTGCTTGACATTTGTTGCAACATAGTGGGGTCATTCATCATTTGTTGTTGCAACTGTTGTTGTGGTGTCAGTTTTACTATTGGATGTTTCAATGCTCTCTTCCTCTTACGTATATTCTTACGTAGCTTACGTGGCATTTTAAGTGAAGTTAAAAAGCGGTTTTTGACAGATGTTTATATGACACTTTTTGTTCAGCACAAAAAACTACTCGGTCAACGGCGATGACTCTCAAAAACCGTTGTGCAAAAAGTTTTACCGTTGGACAAAAAAGCATATATAGAAAACAAAAAACGTTTATAGTTCATTCAATATTTGAGATGGAACGGTTTTCCAACGGTAACTATTAAATAAAATAAAAAAATAGAGGGGGTTACCGTTGACGAAAACGGTTCATCTCAAACTTTTCTATGAGTGGTCCGAAAAAAACAGTTTATTTTTGTCTAATGGAAGGAAGAAAAAGTGTCGCAAACAATTCGTCGACTACCTCTGCAGTTAAAGTTCCTACAACTTATGTCTCACCATTCTCAAAACCCTTACAACCTCCTATAATACCAAAGCAACTTCCTCATACAATTGCAAACAATTCGTCGACTACCTCTGCAGTTAAAGTTCCTACAACTTATGTCTCACCATTCTCAAAACCCTTACAACCTCCTATAATACCAAAGCAACTTCCTCATACAATTGCAAACAATTCGTCGACTACCTCTGCAGTTAAAGTTCCTACAACTTATGTCTCACCATTCTCAAAACCCTTACAACCTCCTATAATACCAAAGCAACTTCCTCATACAATTGCAAACAAATTGTCCAACAATTCAAGACATTCTACTCAAGAAAATACCATACAAACAAACGAAACAACAGATACAGTTGTACCAGACACAACAGGACAAGTTTTACAGTCTTCTCCAATTGCAAACCAATTGTCCAACAATTCAAGACAATCTACTCAAGAAAATACCATACAAACAAACGAAACAACAGATACAGTTGTACCAGACACAACAGGACAAGTTTTACAGTCTTCTCCAATTGCAAACCAATTGTCCAACAATTCAAGACAATCTACTCAAGAAAATACCATACAAACAAACGAAACAACAGAGGAACAACCAAGCGCGTCATCGATGACGACAAGGTCCCAGATGAGATACCTCGCGTTCGCGAAGCAATTTCAATCAGGAGATACAGAAAATACAGAAGAAAACACTACCATACCTGAACGTGTTCGCAGGCAATATGCTAAAAAAAGACTTCAACTCCTTGAAAAACTCAAAAACCAATGGGGAATTCAAGACGACACCGATTATTCGGAAGTGTTTCAGTCTGTTATGGATAGTTTGCAACCAGTTGAAAATGAAGTTAAAGACCCAGGTGTTCTCGTGGACTTGTTTGTTCAATACTTGCCTGTTACAGCAAACCTAATTGCACTACAAGCCATCGACCAATTTATTAGACTTTTCCCCAAAAATATGCAAACTTATTTGCGAAATGTGAAAATTGCTGAGTATGTCAGCATATATCCCAATACCTACAACTATCTCGAAGAATTGGATGAGTATGGGCAAAGGTCCTTTTACGTATACTTTTTTACCAAACCAGGACAGTCAAAACGGTTATATTGTATACAACCTTTACCAGAATTTCAAGACAATTTCCATGTCATATCCACTATAGCGTTAGATACACCAGAAAGAGTTCCATACGGTGGCAAAGTTAGTATTTCAAGCTTCCCGAAAGCTACCAAAGGACATCCTATAAAATTGGCAGAATTCACTAATTCAAATTGCCAATTCAAACAGGATGTTGAGTTTGTATTCTTACACGATACCACATTCATAATACAGACACCTCCAGATGGACTCTACAAAGTATTTATAGCTGGACACGTAGCACCAGATGACGAAGAAGAAGTCGAAGAAATCCTCACCTCAGAGAGCGAAGAAGAAGAAAATTTCCAAGACATTCAAGATTCAGAATATACCGAATAAAAACTTCATTTATACTAAACATCTTCAGGGCTAGAGGGCACGAAGTGCCTGGAAGCCCCACTACCCTTTTTTTTTTTTTTTTTTTTTTTAATGCTAAATCTAATGATTTAATTCGAAAGTTTATATAAAATTTTCATATGAGAGAGGGTCAAAGTTGCTATTTGTCACTTTTCCACAAGAATATAATGGGGAAAAAGTTATCATATAGTTGATCTCATTCACTGAGGTGAGAGATGCATGTAGTGTAATGGGATAAACAGTGGGATTGCTGCTCTAAGTCCTAGGTTCGAGACACATTGGCTTCATTTTTCTCTTTTTTATTGACGTAAACTATTCAATTTTTGTGTTATCCATTCAAATTTCAGAATTTTTTTTGCAGATTTCACGCTACATTCGAAGTTACCTTTTGTAACAACCACCACTGCCTACGAAAGACGAAAGTGTGTCACGATTTCACCCGGAAATCCGACGGTTGTTTAAGAGTAAGCACTTTTGGCACCTACTCGCTTGAAAATTAGTTTATCACAATTGATTCTAGAGAGTATATACCTCAGTCATAGAAAATATAAGATATGATCATATTCCAACTCCAATTCCCTGTTTTTTTATGAGTATCAAAAAAAAAACGATAAATTATATTTGGTCTTTCAATGATAAGACCCAGGAAAACCCATTCTCGGAATTTATTTGACAATTTCGTTTTATACATTACTATAGTACTTTTTATCATTCAATTAAATATACCTAACTCAATTCGTTATTCAGATTCTATAGTTTTTCCTTTTTTAAATATTCCGCAAACTACATTTAAAGGAATTCCGGATTCATCTATTATTGATGTAACAACAATAAGATGGAATAATTCCCCATACATTACTAATCATACATTTATTTTAAAAGATGATTTTCCATATGCAAAATTCGGAGCAGTTTACCAAGATACATGCAATATGAATAGCAATAGAATCTACCATCTTAAAAATTGCTTTGTTTCAGGAAGTACCGCGGTAATATACAACTGGACTGTTATTGAAAATCCAAATATAGATCCAGCAATTACTTTTATATATGAAGCAAAGCCAGGGAATATCATAGCTGAGTATGACACTGTTGTAGCCACTGGTCATTTTAGATGTAATATTTTTGGACATTTTATTGAAGACGCTCTTTCTCCATTAATGGAAATACCTAACGATGTAATAAAAAAATCAAAAATTATAACTCATGCAGAACAAAAATATATTGACGATTTTATACCTCGCCTTGGTCTGAAAGAACAATTTATTAATCTTAAACAAGATGAATGGGTATATGCTCGCGAACTTTACATCAACTTTCTTCCTAGAGTTTACATGGCACATGTCGGTCCGTGTTTCAGAAAACTTACAAAACTTGTGAGAGAAAAGTTTGGTTTGTTAAATGCAGTTCCATATAAGTATGTTATTACGAATCGCGCACATTATTTTAGAAATATTGCTAATTTCAAAGAAATTGTCAGGGCTGTAAAAGCAGAATATCCTAAAGTTAAATGGGAAACACACTATCAAGCTGAAGGAAAAATAGAAGATACAATAAAAATATATGGATTTGCAAAGATTTTATTCGGGCCAGTTGGAAGTAACTTCTTTAATAGCGTCTTCCTACACCCAACAACAATTTGCATAGTAGTTTATGCTAATGTCTTTGATCATACTACACCTGCAACAATTGGTTGTAACTTTTATAGACTTATTTTGTATTGTGAACCAAATGTACCTCAGTTCGAAATAGTTGATAATATATTCAATGTGACTCGAGCTCTTTTGGCTTTTAAGGTAGCTTTCTATGTTGAAGAACACAACCAATGGCCCGACATTCCAAATGGAGGTCTTTTTATATAATCACCAAATATATATATATATGTATATTGCAGTTGGAGTTAGTTGTAAATTCATTGATTAATGATGCCAATAAGAAATTCCAAATCCTGTATGCATTCTTTTTAAATATCAGTGATGTTTTTTGTTGTAAGGACCGTATTAATTCAATACAATTGTATTTATAAAGTTAAAAAGTATTTTTTGTTCATTTTCTCCTTTTATATCAATTATCAATTAAGAATTCAAATGAATGACTTCCATTTGATTTCGAGATGTATTTAAAAAAGCTCAAAATTTTTATCAATCTTATACCATTAGCCATTACAAACAATTATACATGATTTTTATTTAAATGATTATAACGAACATTATAAACAACAAGAAAATAAATATAATTAAATTCCAAGAACTTTGACCGAAAGTTTCCTCTGTCTTACGCTCAAAGTACTACGTCTCTCTCTCTTCTTTCTCTTCTTAATATCTTCTCCTTTAAGTATCATGAATTCGTCGAGTTTCTGCGATGTCCACTGTTCAAAAGTCTGAGAACTGAGTATTCCTTTGAAGAAAGGCTCTTGAGGCATCATCATTAAAAATAATTCTCTATTAAAAATTGTGGAAGAATCTTCTCTGTCAAGATCTGTAACAAAGAAAGAGTATATAAAGTCTGTTGTAACATTTTCCAATGGTGCTCGTAAAATTCTAACGATTCTGTTCACATTTTGAGATGTAAATAGATATTTATGTTTTAAGTGGGTAAGATATTCTGATTGGAATGCGTATAGATATTGCGGTTTGTTTTTTTCAGAAAATTCTTTCTTTAATTCTTTCGCGATATTTTCTGCATTTGGATAGTGAGGCATGTCTTCTCCTGTTTCAACTGTCTTTGTATCGAGATTTACGAATACTGTAGTATCTAAAAAGTCTAATTTTAAGAGTTTGTCGCTCGGTATCGTTCCAATTATATAAGGAGTAGGAGCTTGCAAGATATCGAGGTAATCATCTGTTTGCGGTAGCACTGGCATTACTATTCCGGAGTACTTCATAGGATCGATGAGGTGTACGAACGCTAAAACTGTTAATGAAACTTCTTCGAGGCAGGATCCGATTACGAGTATTTGATAATCTAAATATAAGGCAGACAAAACATCTAAAATCATTTTCGGTTCCAATATGGAACAAACTGTATCTAACGCTGTATATAAAATCGCGTAAGTGTCATCGTTTGTTTGAAAATGTAGTTTTAATTTATCTGTGATATCCATAGGATTCATTCCTGGTATGCACTTGTGATAAATGTGAATGAATCTTGAAAAATTTTCTGGAATTTGCAAAGTGCTATAATAGGCTATGGAATCCTTTACTTCCATATCTGGTATTGGAGGGCCTTGTGTTATAGGAAGGTCTTGTACTTCGCTGAGAACCTTAAATTTTGGAATTCCTCCGGTAATCAACAAAACTAAGTAAGTTAAGAATGAAAAGTGAGTAGAAAGAGTTGGTATTCTCGATAAAATTACAAAAGCAAATAACGTGTTTTTTGTTGATTTAGACATAAAGAAAGGTAAATCTGAAGAATTGGAATAAAACACTGCAGTAGTACCATATATTTCAGACTCTCCATATCTTAGAGCAAATGTAAATTCTTCTTGAATCACGTAATTACCAGATTTAACTTTTCTTCTGTTTGTACCGTATGGTAATGCATGCTCTATTATTTGTTTATGGTTTAATTCTGGGATTTGATATGGTGGGTATGCAATCAATACCTGCGGTGAATCTGATTGTGTTTTATTTGGGGAAATTCCAATTAAAAAGAATTGTTCAAAATTTTGAATTGCCAAAATACTACTCAACTCTGGGACAGATGTCGTTAGTGTTCTGTCGTAGTCTTTAAGGCTCCCAGAGAGAGGAGAATCTAGCATATGTTGAGTGTTAAAAAAATTCAAAATTGAAAAGTTTACAAAAAAACATAAAATTTACAAAAAATCTGACATCGTTTCCAATTGGGACTTTAATTTCTCAATTTCACCTTCAATGTCCTTATACTCTGTTTGAATCTTATCTTTCGATTGTTGAAGTTTCTGCCCATCAAGTGACATTTTTTGAATTTGGAATTCTAGCTCCTTGTTTTGATCAAGGAATGCTTGGAGTTTACTCAAGTATGATTTAATTATTTCGGGTTTTTCTCGAATTAAATTCTCTTTTGACGGATTATATGTGCTCAATTGGGTCATTTGCTGCAACAAATATTCGTATTGCATTTTTTGCTGTAATAATGCCTCCTCCACGGTCTTTCCTATCTCTAATCTTAATCTTCGTTCAAGAATATCCGGAGAATTATCAAAAAATAATACGGTAGAAGATTCTCGAAGAAATTGTGCATTAGGATCATCTGTTCCCGAAATATCTTGTGGTCGAGAAACTTGACGAATTGAACATTCTGAAGCTTCGGCTGCAAATTGCAACGAAAAAATTGTATCTTCAATTTGAGTTACATTTGGAGATATATTAATAATTATTGCAGCTTTAGCTTGCCTTTTCATGGGCTCAAATAGGTTCTTGAAAATGTGGGTTAGTTTTGATTCTCGATATGGAATTGGGATTTTTGTAGTAGTCTTTCCTTGCTCTTTCAAGCATCTAATGCATTTACCAAGAACCAGCATGCCTTTGTTAATGTTACAAGCCTCTTTGAATGATCCCACAGCTGAATTCATTACTGAAAGTCTTTCGGAGCCTGCAAGATCAACAATTGAAAGCCATGAATACCCTAGTAGTGTAGCAAGTTTGAGTCGGAAAATAGAATGAGATCTTGACGAATCTAAATTAAAATCTGTTGAACCTTTATGTCGAGCCTCAATACCTTTTTGAACAACTAATTGAATGTCTTCAACTGTAATAATTGGGATTTCAATACATCCCTTTATTTCAGTATCTCCCATCACATTGAAACCAATTGATAAAGATTCTTTTTTATCTGAGAGAAGATCATATATTCTTTCGTTATAAATTTCATTAAATGAGGCATATAACTTAGCGTTTTCTCTTTCATTCTCAATAATTGGAGGAACAATTTGATTTAGAACTCTGAATAGTAATCCAGGATCATCTTCATTGCCATTAATTGTGTACGTTTTTCCTGCATTTGTACTTCCGTAGCAAAATATGTGAACGTCGGATCCATTAATAAAATTGTCAAGTAAATCCTTTGCGACCATGTCGAATACTTGTTCTTGATTAGCATGCGAATTGAGAATTCCTCTGAATTTGAATGATTTATCAACACAAAAGTATGAAGAATTTTTGTGGTTTGGTGGTCGAATTGTGATTGTGTTATCATCAAGGGTTAAATCCATTGGACTTTCATCGTTTATCAATGGCCTTACACGAAGGTAAACTTTAATCTTGTCATCTTCATATTGTGTTAAATTCATTTCATTATTTGGAGTTTGATCTTTTGAATTTTCTTTTTTTGGTGATTTTTTGACTGTAGAAACTGCATGATTTGGGTTCATATTTTCTAGTCGATCATTTGGATGTCTTATAAACTTTTTGACTTTCATGTTTGAAAACTGGATTGTATTTATTAAACGTATTGTAATAAACAGAAATTCATCAAAAGTGACAGCTCTCAATTTTTTGACATTTGTAAATTCTAAATTGAATGAGAAAAATGAAATAATACTAAGCATAATACAATATTCTAGATTTAATTATAATTAGGAAAAAGTTAGTTTTGAGAGAACTTTTCATAGGCATATAGAATGAAATCTTCTGAAAAATAATATCATATAAACTCATATTATTTTCTAATATATTGTTCCATATTAAGTTCTGTCAAAATGTAAGCTATTCAATTCTATCGTCGGGGAAAGTATCACAAATCTATCAATTTTTTTGTAAAAGTATACAAAAACATATGGTGTTCAATTAGTTTATAATAATATAAATATTAAGATTATCCAAAATAAGAAAAACTAGGTTTTGAGAACACTTTTGAGATGATAATCAAAATATTTTGATTGAAAAATAATATATTATTTATCAGATATAGAATGGATTTTTTCAAATTTAAAAATTCTGAAAAATAAACAGTTTTGTAAAGTAAAAAATTTACCTCGTATTCCAAATGAATGGGTAAGATATATGTATGAAAAACTTGAAAGTGGTGAGTAAGGATGTCAATTCGGAAAATTGTTTTCATTTTAGGAGAATATAATTTTCCTTTTCGAAAATTTAAAAAGTGAGACGCGCAGGATTCGAACTTTTTTAAAAGTTGATTTAAATATATTCTAGTGTGGATTTCTAAGGAAATATCATATTTAAAATAAGAATATACTAGTCTAGGTGGTATAATTTTTTTTCGATAAATTTGAGAGCATGTACGTTTAGGACATCAAAAGTGTCAATTCGCTCAGCGAAAGCTGAGCTAGCTTCGTTCTCGAAAGAATAGGGAAGGAGTGAAAGAGAGTGATACAGATGTTGACACATTCATATCATTTCAACAAATTTTGATCAAATTGAAATTCAATGAAATTCAATTCACTTCATATCCTTCAGTCAGTACATTGACATCCTTCTACATCACAATGATAACTCGTGCATCAATAGTTCTACAACTAACTCAGAAAAAACAAGATTTTTCCTTCCAGCTTACAGCTTTTAAAAAGTTTCGATGATAAAAATCACTCTACTCTTGTTTATCGATATGTTGTGATAGTAGGTAAACGTATTCTTATCGATATTAATAAAATATTTTTACGAAAATCTGAACCAATTACAGAGTTATTCATAAAGTTTATGATAACTTGTAATTACTTCATCTTTGTTTTATATTTGAATAAACAATTTAATTTAATTTGCATAATTTTTTTTAGTTGAAAGACAGGAAACTTAGTTGAGTTTGTATTATTTTTATCGTTCAATTCATTGTATATGTGAGTGATCAGATATTTAAGATATTTAGAAAAAATTTATTAATTTGATTAACAAATTTTAATCAAAATAGCAAAAATCTATTTGATAGCTGTAAGCAAATAATAATTTCTATTTCAACCAAAATCACTTATTTTCATCTAAACGTATAAAATTGTCAATTTTATGAGAATAAATTTAAAATCTCATGAAATATAAAGGAGGAGTAATATTTCAATTTTCTTTTTTTTCTTTCTCTCAAATATTTTCTATTGGGAATTTTCTTGTTATCAAAAAATAATTTTAATATTTGTTTATTTCATTACATACAATAAAATTTTAAAAACTCTATTCTTCACAAGAAAATTTTTTTCCTTCATATGAAGAAACATTTTGTTCTCCATTTTGATGCTGAGTCTAAATCTCGATTTTTGAATTTTCTTCTTTCCAAATTTCTTTTTTCCAAATTAGAAGTTTAATTCAAATTTTCAATAGTTTATATATTCCCGAGTGAGTCGAGTTATCAGGTAGGATTCCGGACGGGACGTCTTAGATTTTCTCATTTTTAGGGATTTTTCTCTCAAAATATACAAAAATAGTAATACCAATACATGTGTCCAATATACTTTAAAACATCGTGATAAAATTCAAAACAGAAGATTTTCTTCTTCCAAATTTTTTTCAAAATCAAAAAAATGAGATAAAAAATATACGTTTGGAAAATTCATTTTTAGCATTTTAGGAATTTTCTCACTTTTCTTCCAAATTGACATCCTTATGGTGAGTTAACTTACGCAACAGTTTTGAAAAAAGTTCCATATTCTTATCAAAATGTTACAATTTTCAAACAAATTTCAAGAAATACTCTCAAAAAAGCATTCAAAGAAATCGGTGGTACACCAAAAATTAAAAGTGGTCCTCCACAAGAGGAATTAACTCCAGTGTAATAAACAGAAATTCATCAAAAGTGACAGCTCTCAATTTTTTGACATTTGTAAATTCTAAATTGAACGAGAAAAATGAAATAATACTAAGCATAATACAATATTCTAGATTTAATTATAATTAGGAAAAAGTTAGTTTTGAGAGAACTTTTCATAGGCATATAGAATGAAATCTTCTGAAAAATAATATCACATAAACTCATATTATTTTCTAATATATAACTATTTTATATAAAAATCAAATTCAATGATCTTAAAAGCGAAGGATAACCTCAAATTTACGATATAATGAGTGGGAATATAATGCTTATCTATCATAAAACCATATGAAATATCAATTTTTGCTTTACGCCTAATTTTTGACGACAATTAGCAAAAAATGTTAAATGTTAACACTCAGTCCATTTGAATATGAAAAATAAAATTGACTTTGATTAAATGTTTTTATTTATCATGCAATTCTTCTTGCGACCAAAGATTTGAATAAAAGTTCAAAAATAAGATAGCTTAAAAAATAATATACGGTAGTGTTTACTAATAGATAATAGTATATAAATTCTATTAAATGGATTTGATCCAAAAAAATATAAAATCAAAAATAATTGTTATAATTTAAATGAAGAAGTAATTTAAAACGATTTTATTTATGATCAAATTTTATATATTTTTGGATCAAATCCATTTTAATAGAATTTATATACTATTCATCTATTAGTAAACACTACCGTATATTATTTGGCAAACCCAAATTTTAGCTAAAAGTGACAGGGGAAAAAACGTTTAGTATTAAAAAAAAGACTGATGAGAGCTTCGTTCGAAATATAGAGGGAACTGAGAATGCGCAACCATTCTCAGGGAATATTGGATGCTATTCCCGTTCCCTCTGTATGGAAAATTGAGGTTTTCATGAGACTCTTAGAGAAAATTAAAATAAACTCACAACAGAGATGGATGGTATGTTATAAACTTGGTGGAAAGTATGAATGTTCTACGTTAAACCTCAATAATATTGAAACATTACTACATCAGCTCTTGAAGGAGAACTTTATATCAGAGATAGAAGCAAATGCTGCAGGTATTGTTGAAATGCACTATGACTTCTTCTTGACAAACATAAAGAATCTTACCGAAATAAAGATGTATGATTTAACAGAATATGAAGGCTTAACGATGTCAGATGTAAGAAAGGCAAACCAAAAGAGACCATATAGAGATGAAAGCACACTGACAAATGACCAGAAAGCCATTTTGGAAGCTCTTAAGCAACAGGAACCCAGCACATATAGAAAGCTTTTGGAAAGATAATGGTGAAAAGAAGTTTTATAAGAAGGAAGCGGTCAGTTCTGGAAGTATTTTGCACATTACCTATAAATCTTGAGCGCTACCAAATTTCAATGAATTGAACAAAAGAACTGCAGCACTTATGACAGAAGACAATTGTTTCGTTTATGCTTGCATTCAGGCTGGAGTAGATGGTGAGACTATTGACCACATGAGAGAAGTCATTCGTGTTAGAGACTTTCCTCAAAGTAAAGTACAAGAAATTTCTGATGCAACAGGTATAGCATTTAATGTTACCATTGGTTATTTCAATGACTCAAGACATAATGAAATAAAGAGATACATACCAAAAGAATGTGAAACTGTTCGAACTATTGACTTACTTCTTGTTGAAGACCACTACTGTTAAATGAAAGATTACCAATGACAACATATTTCATTCGCAACTATATAGAAATCTTGAAGGAGTGTGGTGGAATGAACATTGAGAAACAGATGAAGATTTATACAAAGAGAGAAGATAAATATGTAGTTCGTTATGATAGAACAACACCGTTATGGGATGTTATGAAAACATTGTGGGAGTGCAAATATTTCGAACCTATTTCTTATGGAGAACTTTTCACATATACTACTGACTTATATAAACAGAACCTTGCACCATTTAAAGACTTGTCATATGCTCCAAAGTATTGTGTACAACTGAAGAAGAAAGCCGAGTCAAAAGAAGTAATAAAAATAAGTGCAAGTTCATTCCTGAGCACGTTTTCTTTGCTGACTTTGAGTGCAGTACCGATGGCTTTTCATAAAGCTTTTAACATATGTTATGACAGTGAAGATGGTTCAGTGAGTGAAAGATTTGGGGTCAGAATGTGCAACAGAATTTTTGGAACGACTTCTGACAAGAGTTTAATATATTTCCATAACCTCAGTTATGACATAAACTTCATCTTAAGACACATGACAGAAGTGAAAGAAACTCCCATCATTAAAGGTTCACGAACAATGCAAATAACTGGCTTATATAAAGGAAGGGCAATTATTATAAAAGACTCTTACAGTGTTATAAATAAGAAGCTTAAACTATTTCCTCGTATGTTTAACTTACAAACAGGACCGAAAGAAGTATTTCATACAACTACTACAGCAGTGTTTTGTTAGCAAATGACAACAGAACTGGTGTCATTTCTGAAGCATGTAAGTTTGTAAAAGATATTGAAACATTCATGAAAAACATAGATTCTATCATAAGACAAATTACGGAAAGTGAACTCAAACAAAAAGTGACACAATGCATTTGCCAACCAAATAACTTTACAAAGCAAAAACTTAAATTACTTGTCAAGCTTACTATTCTTATTTTAACAATTAAAAAA